TATGAAGATGAGATTTGTTTTGGTTATAGATCGTCACTATATGTAAATAATTTATTATAAAATAATTGTCAAAAAAAACACAAGATTTAATGATATATATTAATTTAAAAACGCGCGAAACGTCCAATATTTCTTTCCACCCCCTGTATTTAGTGAGGAATAGTTAAAAAGATATCCTACTAATTTACATGTATTTAGTTACTTATTAAGTACAATCTTTTAATAATTTATCAATGGATCTTTCCATTAATCACCAGCGTGACTAAAAAATGTACATACACTAATAAAGTAATTCAATCTTTATTATGTCAAAATGCATATAATCGTTATGTTGTTGTTATTGCACTTAACGGTTTGTTAATGTTAACAAGGTTTTAACCGACTATTTATTAATTATTACCAAATTACCAAATTATTTGCAGAAGATTGATGCTTTTAATGATTGTGTGTGTAGCTATCTAAATGCTTAATTACATGCATCTAATCTTTTTGAATCTTTTTGCCAAATTTAAACTACTTAAACATCATATTATAAAATGAAGGTAATATAAAAATATAAGAACTTAGAGAAGAGTAAACAGACAGAACGAAGTAACGAAGTGATTAAAAGATTAAACAACGAATAAATATATCAATAAATCTTTTAAATAAATTTAAACCCTTAAACATCATATTACAAAATGAAAATATAAGAACTGCGAAAGAAGAGTAGAACAGACAGAACGAAGTAAACGAAGTGATTAAAAGATTAAAGAACGAATAAATATATCAATAAATTTGTAAACAAACAAAATTTAATTACGAATAGTTTTTCTATGTTTGAATCATTATTACTTTTAATTTCTTTAAATTTCACTTGGCTCACAAGAAATCAATTCATCAAAAAGAGCTTCATACATATCTATATCTTTACTATGACTGTTGCAATTTTTATCGTCGTTGTTATTTTCGTTTTCGAATAACGCGTTGTCGATCGAATTTTGAGCGAAATTTTTAGCATCACTGGCTGTAATGTTATTAGCATGATGATCATAATGAGTTGACATCAAATCATTAACGTTAGAATCTTCTTGATAATCATAAATGACTGTAGAAATTATTGATGACCGGTGAATTGAGTTGGGTTTGTTGGGTTTGACTGGGAAGGTAAATACATATTTTTTCTGTGCTCGGAAAACAAATTTTTTATTGCTGGAATCTTTTGCTTTCTTTGGTTGATATTTGTAAGTCGGGTATATACATTTATGATTATTGCAAGCTATTTTTGCCAATATTTTGAAAAAATCCTTAACTTCACTTGATTGTTGATTCCATTTCTTACTACATTCCTTTGCTGTTTGTTTAACTGTTCGCCTGACATCAGGATCACGTAATCGTATACTAGCTTCATAATCTTTTCGGAAAATAATAAAGCTATTTTGGGGTCGTGGTGGGTTATCACAAATATCGCGTCCTTTTTGAGCAGGTTTTGTTAACTCATCAATCGTGAGAGTAAGTTCATAAGGACGTTTACTTAGTAGTTTTCTTTCAGTTTCTGAAAAAACTTCGAGATTACTCATATTTGATTGGATGTTCAGATGATAATAAATTTACTTAAGAAAGTTTTACAGAATTCCTGAAAACGAAAGGTTTTTCGAATGTCTTTAAATAATTCTTATTACACTTGCAAAATGAGCACAGAAGTTAGTTTATGTTGTCAATATAATATCTTCTGTCAGAACAACTCGAAGACGCGCTTCTCATATATACACGTATCGTATACATGTATAATACACCAATCACAGAACTCCAATGAAATGCATGCATAATTTTCTAGTTTAATAACTGATTACCAAACACACAACAGATACTTAAATTAAAAAACAAAAGATAGAAACTGATTACCAAACACACAACAGATATTTAAATTAAAAAACAAAAGATAGAGTTTGTAAATTGAAATAAAGCCTGATTACGTGCATGAATAATTTTTTAGTTTAGTACATGATTACCAAACGCATCAATTCCGTATCGTTACCTTTAGCCATGACAACACGTTTAAATCAAAAAACAAAGAAAAAGTTTGTAGGCTGAAATAAGTCTCTCCATACATGTCATAATTTATTGGTTCTCAAATCCTGTTCCTATAGATAGGTTGCTGTTATATCAAATGTTCTTATGGAGATGTGATAAAGCCTGATTACATGCATGTATAATTTTTTTAGTTTAGTATATGATTACGAAATACATCAATTCCGCGCCGTTACCTTTAGCCATGACAACACGTTTAAATAAAAAAAAACAAAGAAAAAGTTTGTAGACTGAAATAAGTCTCTCCATACGTGTCATAATTTATTGGCTCTCAAATCCAATTCCTATAGTTAGGTTGTTGTTATATCGAGTGTTCTTATGGAGATGTGTGACTGTAGTTTGATCCATTAATAAGATTCAAGCGCATCCATGATTTACATAACATTTTTCATTTAACTTTCAGCAACACGTTTTTTGATGATATGTTTGGACTTGTTCAAAGAATCAAAATTTTGAACATGTTACGTTGACTTTGATGATTTGATCATAAAAACTTAGAAGTACGATGTTGTCCAGTACATCTCAATTTAACACTATAAAAATGCCAATATTTATCCAACATTGTTTATTGACTTTATAAGTTGCGCGTTATTATTTATTAAAGATAGAGATTTTTAATATTTGCAAGCTATTTATGGTTGTAAATCTCTGAAAAAATAATACGTGAAATATAAAAACTGCTACATTCGCAAAAAACAGTATAAAGCATTATTTTAGTCGTCTGTTATTAATATAGAACAACGCTTTTTACTAACAGACTTATAGGAATAAATCTTTAAATTTTGTTATAAATTATCAGGATTTTTATTTTAGTTATTTGAAATCATTTAAGAGAATTTTTGAATATGGAGACTATTAACACAAAGATACGATTTTTGGTACATGATGATTTTATTTACTTGAAATCATGCGGTTATTATCTATCTCTATGTTTCAATGTGAATTTCTTTTAAGCAATGAAGCGGGAAAACCAATAAACTTGTTGCATTGTACAAATGATTTATAATTACACGGAGATTAAATACTGTGTTTACATCATTCCTCATTTTTTTTGGATTTATAATTACACGGAGATTAAATACTGTGTTTACATCATTCCTCATTTTTTTTGGATTTATATATTATTTGAAGCCATTGTTAGATTCTATATCTCCTAAAATATATCAATGAATTTCCTTTTTTTATAAATTTTCGTATTTACATCAGTTGAAATCAGAGATATCAATATTGTTCCTTACACCTCCCTAAGTGCACCCCCCTTGGGACCATAGTAAAAAAAAGTGTGTATTTAGAGAGGGTGTACATTTATAGAGGTCAAAATATATAGAGCTCTTATAAGCTGGGCCCAGAATATACCGTGCATTTAGAGAGGAGTTATATAGTGCGTGCACTTACAGAGGGTGCACTTCGAGAGGTGTAACTGTATATTATCAATGCCGGTTAGACGAGATTCAAAAAATGCTTATGTATTGGTTAACTTTATTAGTCGTGATTGAGGAAGATAATAGCTCCTCTTACTATATATTTCTTATGTGATATCTATCTCATTGGATTTTTTTACGATCTTGTATAATCTGGTAAACAATAATAAATGAAACGTAAAAATAAAGATGTACCATATTTCACTGGTTATGAGCAACGCTAGTGTATCCCTAAGTTATATTTCTGACAATGTTCATAGAAGTTTTTTATTACTTCCTGAACTAATTTAGCTTTCACATGAGACAGAATTGGTCAGAATGAAGTGTGATCAGATGAAATGATAAGAAATATTAGAAACAATAATATTTGAATTAAAATTAAAGGTATTGCTTAGAACTAGAAAAAATAAAAAATTATAAAATGAGTCGAGATGGCTTATAGCAATTTCAAAAACTTATATTGACACATTACTAATAATTCCATTATAAATCCGAACTTAAATTATTACATATATTAAATAAAGGTTCGTTATGTCGATACTCTTTGTATCGACGATCATTGTGTTATATAAAATTCGTTTCGCCATTGGTAAATTTGGGATTTTATTTATCTCACGCATACTTGTTTTATTATGTAAATGAATGTTCAATTTTTAATTTTACTTTTTTGTGGTTTTTTCCCGGAGATATATGGTATTGATTTCAGTCGATCAGAATTTGCATAAATCCACCGCAGACACTGCAAAAATATTGGTTTGAGGGTTTTATCATCAGTTTGTGAATCCCAAGTAATTTATGTTTGGTCTTGTTCATTTTTTTGATAACCATATTTGCATTAATCATAGAAATTCTCTTTAGAAAATGACCATCCCATCTATAATTATATAACAAACGAAGTACTTGTTAGGATATCGAACAGTATGCCGTTTTTTCGTTTTGGTCAAAAACAATTAAATAGTTATGATTAATATGTGATTGATATATGAATAGGCATGTGCTTAATATTATGTAACGCGCGTCCATTAGATACTTCCGAAAACATACGCAAGGTTAAAAAATGAAACTTACTAAATGAGAAAAAGGTTGTGCAAAGTTTATAAAACTGTAGTTAGTTCAGTAGAAGACAATTTATTAACAGTCTTTTCAAGACTCGCAATATTTTTCTCTATTATTTCAATCATATCATCATTTTCGAGGCATTTATGACATTGAGTTTCAGTAATTTTCTTTTTAACGTTTCGAGGTGGTTTATAAATCTCGTTCCTTACAATCCAAAGATGTCTTCGTCCTATAGTATCCGGAATAGTATTATTCTTTTATTTCGAGAACTTGCATTGACTCTTTTAGTTTTGGAGATTCCGTTGCCATTACTCTTATAATTTTGTGTTAGTATGAGATAATGCTATCTTTTTGTTTATATTATTAAAATCTTTGTCAATCTAATATCTTCTGTCAGAACAACTCGAGTACGCGCTTCTTATATACACGTATCGTATACATGTATAATACAGAACGCCGCATGCATAATTTCTAATTTAGTACATAATTACAAACACATCAATTCCGCGCCGTTACCTTTAGCCATGGCAACACGTTTAATAATAAAACAAAGTTTGTAAACTGAAATAAGTCTCTCCATACGGGTCATAAAATCCCAGTTCTTTAGTATAGAGGTGAGTTTTAATACAGGCTAATTTATCGGTTCTCAAAATCCTGTTGTTATATTGAGTGTTCTTATAGAGATGTGTGACTGTAGTTTGATCCATTAATAAGATTCAAGCGCATCCATGATTTACATAAAATTTTTCATTTGGCTTTCAGCAACACGTTTTTTGGTGATATGTTTGGACTTGTTCAAAGAATCAAAATTTTGAACATGTTACGTTGACTTTGATGATTTGATCATAAAAACTTAGAATTACGATATTGTCCAGTACATCTCAATTTAACATTATAAAAATGCCAATATTTATCCAACATTGCTTATTTGACTTTCCATTTAAATATAGGTTGCGCGTTATTGTTTATTAAAGATATAGGTTTTTTAATATTTGCAAGCTATTTATGGTTGTAAATCTCTGAAAAAATAATATGTGAAATATAACAGAATAAAGCATTATTTTACACGTTTTATGAACTAAATTACATATGTAAATAGTAGTTTGTCCTTACATGTGAAAACAACATTTTTTACGGACAGACTTTTATAGGGATAATCAAGATAAAACTTTAAATTTTGTTATAAAACTATTCAGTATTTCATAACTTTAATTATTTAAAAATTATTTAAGAGGATCTTGAATAAAAATTAATTGTTCATCTGAACAACATAATTTTATTGAATTAGAGAATTGCTTGAGGTTTAATATCATTAAATCGAACAGATTAATTTGTATGACCTAATATCAATAATAAAGTAAGTTTTATATATTTTTCAGATGAATTTTATTAGTTATGTCCAAAGAAATTTATATTAAATAAAAAACAAAATTCTTTAATACAAAGCTGATTCAGTTATTTAGCTTCCAAATACTTTCCGAATGAATTTGGGATACCAGTTAATGTTTCCAATCACTATCATGTAGCAATGCTTTCTTCTTTTAACCTATAATTTAACAAAGAATGCCATTGAAAATGTAATGAGTTTGATATAATTTAACGTGCTTAAAGAACAGACGATGAATCCTAAAAACAGATTTCAAAACACAGAGTATGTAGTTAAACATAATGATACCTGTTTCGGCAATCCACCGAACTATCAACGAAAAAACCACGATAAACGCTTATTAATAACCTGTCGAACCATATTTAACCTTTTAGTAATATGTCGGCCAATATTAAATTTAAATGTTCGTCAAGCATTAATAAACAAAAATGGTAATTCTCATACTGATGACGAGAGTATTTTTCTATAAAAACATCAATCAATTCGCTTGCTTCTAATTCATTCCAATGATACACTTACAATGAATTAACCTCTTTTTTAGGAAACAAACAGCATTATCACAATATATTGGTCGTTCACTTCACAATTTCGAAATTCTCTCATCAGACTTCAAGCTACAGTTTTCAGTTGGGCTTACATGTACCGTTTCAATGGATTAAAAATTCCGAAATCTAGTTTGAGATGTGCTCAATTGGGCCTACATGTACCATTTCAATGGATTGAAAATTCCGAAATCTAGTTTGAGATGTGCCTATACACATTATGCATACGTATATGCGCATTATGTCATAATAGTTGATTATGCGCGCATTTGCTTAGTAATAATATCTAACAACTACAACCAAAGAGCATTACAATTGTTTTTTATGTTTGTTTTAATGTCATAGTAAACTTCCGTAATAGTCACACCCACAATTGTCACAATCGTGCTACAATCACATTAATTTTAAGATTCACTCTATCGCTCACATCAGTCACAATTTCGCAATATTTAACAAAATGCTTGATTTGAGTACGTGTCTATAGAGGGAGTTTACTGTATATCTTTTATTATATTTACAGAAGATAGCAGTATAATAGCAAATTGGCTGGATCATATGTAACAGCTCATTGCATTCTGAAATGCCTTATGAGAATTTTATTCTCATGCTTTGCAAATCAAACAAATCATTTTCAAAACACAAACAGGCTTGCATTTTGAATTGCTTTTACGTCATTCAATATATTTTACTGTAACTTTGCGTGAAAAACAACCAAATATTCTTAAAATTTTTCACAAATGCAACGAGATGGAATAACTATTTTGAATGCCTTGATAGCATTCTTAAAAGCAAGTCTGCATTAAATATAAACTGTTTACCATTAATTTAATTATTTTTCAAATTAAGAGTCTCATATAATTCTTCAAAAACTTTTATCATTTATTTTTTGTTTGAGATTAAACTAAATGGGAAAGGTACTAAGATCACAGCGTGATGAATAATGTACAGTAGTCGCAAAAGTAATGCACAATTTGAATGTGTAATAATAAAAGCCAATTTAGACACATATATGTATATGATACAATGCCGTTATAAACATTTTTGATATCAGAATGATAACCAATATTTACTTTTATAAGAAAATTAATCACTTGTTATAAGCTTTTTGTTGGTCCCAACAACTTTCCTATATCAAGAGTGAATTGTACACGTTTTTTCGATAGATTACTAACTATAAAAGGACAATGGAATCAAATTGCCACAACCTGATGTGTTTGAACGGCGAGATTTCATGATTATTTCATACAGCTTCTTTGATATTTACTATCTTTCAACTGTTTTTTTTATCACTTTTAGTTTCTTACAGTAGAATCTTACATGATTGTTGTTAAAGATATTTAAGTTTCAAAGCCTTATAATAACAGTAATAAAGAGTTTTACAGACGTTAAGAAGAGCAAATCAACTTTATCCTTTAATGAATTGAGTTTTTATGAGGGGGGGGGGGCATAACTGTTTAGCTGACTTTACGTCTGCTTGAAAATTAAGGAATTGGTATGTTAATATATTTTAATTTGTAAACGACAATCGACCGATGAGTTTCGATTTTTGATAAAAGGGCTTGCCATGCCATCTACAGTATAATAAATGGTTTTTTTTTTTACCATTTTCAAAACAAAAATCAGCAAACAAAATTGATTAAAAAAAGCCGAATATTCAACTACAAGATTTATCGGTCAATATACACGAATGCATATTGCATTTTTATTTCAAAGTAAGCATTATAACAAATAAATATGGATATGACGTACTTAAAAATTTTATATTATTATAACGAACTTTATACAATAAACACAGCCAATTTTTTCATTATCGATTATCATATTGCTGTAACAATTAAAAAAGTTAATTCTTTTGTGTGTAATTTTAAATGTTTTCATACATTTTTATATTTTCTCAAATGTTTCACTATATAATAGATATACAAACCACACTTTATACTCGCTTATTTTCGGATATATACGGTATGTATAATGCATAAGAATTGAAAGTACATTTTCGGATGATATGCATTACGTAATATAGTAAATCTGAGAAAATATCAATGTGTGTAGTAGTATTGCGAGTGAACAATTAGGAAACTTCTTAATATGAGGTCATTTAAACCAAGATATATTATATCCAATATTATCAAAGAAGAACTGGCAATCCTTTTAGATTCGAGACGGAAATTCTTCTTCGGTTGGGAAGTGCTTAGTTAAAAGAAGAAATTGAAAAACCATATATAAAATACCATAATTCACCGTGCAAAATACTCCGGGTCTCTTACATTTTATGGCAAAGTTAAACGATGCACTACATGTATATGTATACAATGTATGTATAAGGGTTTGTAACATCTGCATGCACCAGCATTAAACATCCGTAATTTCCCAATCAGCAATGTATTAACGGGAAACACCGTAAAGCAGTGGTTCAAAAAATAATATGACGCAATTTTTATAAAAAATTTGTATGCAAAATTATTTTAATCTGCGTATATTATAAATTTTTTACAAATTTTTGGTGTCATTTTCAATATAAAAATCAATTAGGGAAACTTTCTTGCTACAAGAGAATTTGATATAGTAAATTCCTCGTTATATTAATGAAAAGGTTCTGATCCGATGCCTTTACTATATTGGGACCGACTTGTATTTAAATGTAAGAAACTCTTATTGGGAAGCCAGTGCTATGTTGATATTACAAGTAAAAAATTTTGCGACGAGGCATCAATGTTGTTACTACAAAGAATATTTCGCGGGATTTTGCTTAGGGTATGACGACAATTTTTTTCGTAACACATTAATAGTTAGGAATACCAATGCATTATTACAGAATTTTCGTAAACAGGATTTCTCGTTGCGACAGCAACAATCGCTTATGCTTAATTGTATTGCCTTCAAATCTGCTTTATCATTATCAAGAAAAAAAACTAAATCAAATTATGATCGACTGTTTTGGTGTATCAAACAAATAACGACAAACGAAATTTCCCCTTTATTGCATCCAATATCTTTGAATCTTATTGTCTATTTAAATAAATTTAAACTGTTTTAACTTCATAATCATAAAATGAAGATAATGTCATAATCATAAAATGAAGATATAAGAACTTAAAGAGAAGAGTAAGAGTAGAACAGACAGAACGAAGTAACGAAGTGATCAAAAGAACGAATAAATATATCAACTAATAAATTTGTAAAAAATTTAAATTACGAGTGCTTTTCTATGTTAGGTATTAATTGAATTGTTACTACTTTTAAATTCTTGAATTTCATTTGGCTCAACAAGAAATCAATTCATCAAAAAGCGCTTCATACATATCTATATCTTTACTATGACTGTTGCAATTTTTATCGTCGTTGTTATTTTCGTTTTCGAATAACGCGTTGTCGATCGAATTTTGAGCGAAATTTTTAGCATCACTGGCTGTAATGTTATTAGCATGATGATCATAATGAGTTGACATCAAATCATTAACGTTAGAATCTTCTTGATAATCATAAATGACTGTAGAAATTATTGATGACCGGTGAATTGAGTTGGGTTTGTTGGGTTTGACTGGGAAGGTAAATACATATTTTTTCTGTGCTCGGAAAACAAATTTTTTATTGCTGGAATCTTTTGCTTTCTTTGGTTGATATTTGTAAGTCGGGTAAATACACTTATGATTATTGCAAGCTATTTTTGCCAATATTTTGAAAAAATCTTTAACTTCGCTTGATAGTTGATTCCATTTCTTACTGCATTCCTTTGCTGTTTGTTTAACTGTTCGCCTGACATCAGGATTACGTAAGCGCATACTAGCTTCATAATCTTTTCGGAAAATAATAAAGCTATTTTGTGGTCGTGGTGGGTTATCATAAATACTGCGTTCTTTTTGAGCAGGTTTTGTTAACTCATCAATTGTGAGAGTAAGTTCATAAGGACATTTGCTTAGTAGTTTTCTTTCGGTTTCTGAAAAAGCATCGAAATTACTCATATTCGATTGGATGTTCAGATGATAATAAATTTACTTAAGAAAGTTTTACAGAATTCCTGAAAACGAAAGGTTCTTCATACATAGCCTTTAAATAATTCTTATTGCGCTTACAATATAAGCAAAGAAGTTTGTTTATGCGTTATATAAATATATTTAGGGAAGAAAGAAACATTCATATCCAACCATACTAACTAGAAAAGGTCTCTTTCAATGACAAAACAATAATGCATGGACCGTAAAGCGTTCTTTAGATTGCCCCGGATATTTAAAATCAGATAGAGATCTTCAAAATCATACCGTATCAAGCTTGACATCAGATACCGATACCGATTCTGTAGTGATGGTGTAATAATGATGACATCATATTACTATAATGAATTATTTTTTGTCTGGTCAATATAAAGGTTGAATAATAATTTATCAATTTTTATCAGAAACACAAAGTACATGTATGAAGAATATCGAAGATTTCCTATGAGCCAAGAAAAAATCACAATAATTATGATGTACAAATAGCCTAACCGCTTACATATAAATAAAGTACGTTAAAATTTTTAAAATACCGAAAAGGTTTCAAGTGTTATTTTTATACAAATACTTAAAATAATAATAACCTCCTTTTTAAATGAGACAATATTATGGGTGGGTTAGGACAATAAATGTAATCAAACTGCCATAATTAATATCGATACTTCTTCATTGCGCAACTGTATACAATTAAAAATAGAATGTGTTAACAGAATGATGGTCGTTCTTTATCACGTCACATTATATATATATAATAATTAATATTATTTATATATTTTTTTAGACTTGTTCTCATAGCTTTCTTTTATCTCTTGACCTATACATTCTTTTGTTTGATTATTATGCCATATTAACGCAATTCAGCCGTCTTTCAATGATTGTTAAACAATGAGAAGCATTTTCAACAAGTAAAAATTTTAAAAATCATATCCCTTTTTCTGTTCTGTTTATGAAAGAAAAAATAGCTATTTTTGGTCAAAAAAGCGGTTATTTGATTATCTTTACCGAAATATACAATCATGTATATTTTGCTTCCAAAACCAGTTAATCTTATATTCCTTCGATGCCGCGCTGCTGACGCATATGAATTTCATCATAATGAGTTTTATACAGAAAATAAATATAATTTTTTTTGTTTCTAAAAGTATATGTATTATTTCAGGAAAAAATTATGTAATCTGTATTTTGCCCATCAACCTCCTATTGAATAATACATCAATTAAAATATTATATTATCAATTAATCTCTTGTTTTTAATATACAATTAAAATACTATATATTAAAAACTGTTCACAGGAAATATCTCCGAATCTTTTTATGATAAGTAAGGATTTAGTAAGTTAACAATAGCTTATCGTTTTTTATTCACCTCCGGTAATCCACTGTTCATAGCGTCATACAAAAAATATAAAGAGTTTGGCCAACCATAGTTGCTGCCCGAGGCAGTAGACCACCAAAATTAAATGATAGAGATACCCGAAGAATAATCAACGTTGTAAAAGATAACCGGCAACAATCAGTTGATGAAATTACTGAAAAATTCAATAAATTCAAAATATTTACGTCGTAATCTTCACGAAAGTGAGTTTTTTGATCGGGCTGGTCTAAGAAAACCTTTCATATCTGAGGAAAATCGTCGTAAACGATTAAAATAGTGTCTAGAACGAAAAGATTGGGTTCTTGAATGGGAATTAGTAATTTGGCGTGATGAATCAAGGTATTTAATATTCAGAAATTATTCACGGCAATGGGTTTGGCGAAAAATATGACGTTGATTGTCTTCTTCCTAGTATGAAATCGGGTAATCGAGGAGTAATGTTTTTACCCGAAATGCACTCGGACCATTAATCGAAGTTGACGGTGCAATAACTGGATAAATATATGTAGAATTGTTTGAACAGCATCTTCGACCCTTTTTAGATGAACTACCAGCTAGTTCTGTTCATCTTTTCAAGATGATAATGTGCAGGTTCACAGAAATTATCATGTTGATGGATAGAGAGAGAGAGATCTAATAGCTTCACTTCCATGGCCTGCCCAGAGTCCTGATCTAAATCCAATTGAGCATTTATGGGATGGGATGTTTTGGAAAGACAAATTCGTGCACGACCAACACATCCCAAAAATCCGGAAGAATTAATGGATGCACTCGTGGTGGAATGAAATGAAATCGGACCGGAAATTCTAAAAAATTTGGTTGAAAGTATGCTGCAAGCTGTAATTGATGCAAATCCGATATTAAATATATGAATATATGAATCAAAATTTGTGACCTACATTGCTGATTATTTCCCGATTCCAAACTTTTGTCCGATATGTACAATGATTTTAAGTTATCGTTATCGTTATCGTTATTGATAAAAAAATTTAAGAAAGTCGCTATGATTAAAAAATTAGAAAAAATTAAAAAAACATTATCATCATTAAAAAAAATTTAAGTAATAAAAAAAAGGGTATTTTTTGTAACATATTTTCTATTATGACAAAAATCCTTCGTACTTCATATACAGCCAGAGAAAAACTTCGCATTATTGCTTATTGTAAACAAAATTCTTTACGAAATGCTCAACAAAAATATGGAATTAATTTTGCACAAATATCAAAATGGTGTAAAAATGAATCAATATCAAAAGCTAAATCTAAAAATTGCCGTATGGCTGCTGGTTTAAAACCTTTATATCCAGATTTTGAAGAAAAATTAAATAAATAGATTGAAATTTTACATCAAGATGGAATTGCTATTACAACATATATGGTTCAACAAAAAATAAAATCTCTCCTTAATATTGAATACTCACAACAATATCATAATGCTAAAAATACCTTCACAGCATCTTATAATGGCTCTATGGCTTTATGAATTGTTATAATCTTTCTATTCGCCAAAAACAAAAATTGGACAAAAATTACCTAGAGGTCTTCTTCAAAATTAGAATTATTTAATACATTTATTAAAACATACAATTTTAAAAATAAACATCCTTTATCACAAATTGCAAATATGGTTGAAACTCCAATTTTTTTGATATGATTGGTAATTTGACAATAAAAAAAAAGGCATGCATATAGTTCAACTTTGTACTACAGAAAATGATAAAAATCACTTTACATGTATTTTAACAATTCTTGCTGATGGAACTAAACTTAAACCTATGGTGATTTTTAAAGGCAAAAAATCGCCAAAGATCTTCCTAAATCCAATGATAGCTTGACTTCAAGAAATAAGAAAAAATCATTTTAAATTAAATGAAAAATCATTTTAAATTAAATGAAAAATCATTGTTAATAATAGATAGTTTTGTAGGTCATAAAACAAGACTTGTAAAAAAAAAGTCAACAAAATAATATTGAATTGGCTATATACCTGGTGGTCTTACATCACTTGTTCAACCATTAGATGTTTGTATTAACAAACTCTTTAAAGATAGAATGCGTAAAAAATGGCAGAATTGGATAGAAAATAAGCAATATATATTTATTAAAGATGGAAATTTATGTAGATGGATTTTAGAAGCTTGGAATGATATACCTGTAGTAATGATTCATAATAGTTTTAAAAAATGTAAAATTATTGAAAATCTAATATTAAAATTTATCAAATTTATCAATATACATATAGAATATATAATTATGTGTTTTTTTAGGGAGGATGAAAAATCAATACCAAATACAGTATATAATAATGATTTTTTGCTCATAACTTGAGGATTATTATTATATATAGCAAATCAAAACTTAGATTTTTATTTAGGTATTAGAGTGAGGTGGATCACTACATAGAATTTTTTTTATCAAATAAATATGCACTTCCAATCAATATTTGTAGAATACAGAAGATAGTTATTTATTATAATATATTAAAACTGAAAGTATCATATACAAACAGTACAATGATCATTAAAGAAGATTCTTTAGCATTAAATGTTAGTTATGAAACTCAAGTCTTTACTTTTGATGGATTTTTTTATATTGACAAATGTTGAATAACAACTGGTGATTCCAGATGCATAGTATGTGAAATATGTCAGTAAATTCAATAGGATAATAATATAATAAATAACTATTATTTTGAACGTCATAAAGAGTTGATCAAAAAATCTTTGCTGATGTGAATTCTATATACATAATGAAAACTTGATACAGATAATTATTCATACAATTAGTGAAATCTGTTATATCAAGAATTGTTTATTATGATTTATATTCCATTAAGTATATCGAGTTTTTATTAATTTATATTATATCAAATATTTATTATATCGAGTTTTACTATTTTATTTTAAAAATTATTGCCAAACTTTTGAAAAAATAATATTTTCTGTATTCTCACAAACATCTACAATTTTATAGTTGTGAATCAGTATGGCTAATTCAGAATGAGTTCTTTGAAAATTAACAACTTGGATTATAATTCCAAATAAAGACACATTTTCTTTGGATGCAATCTTATTTGAAAATGACTTGAAGAATATTCTGACATATGAGTAAGATTTTTTTTTGTTACATTATTATTTTTATTCTCATAAAACACATCCACCACATCTTCATGAGTTATATAATACAAATTATTGTTTTGAGTTATCGAATATTATAGTAATATTCTCATAATTCTAGTAAGTCATATTACTTCTTCTGTAATATTGCACATATCAGATATATTCTTTTCCCTTTCTTTATAGTTATCACAATTATGACATTCAGAAATTTGAAAATCATTAGGCCAAAGAAAAGAATAATATATAAGTTATTAATGACATTCATATATTGCATCTGTATATAGTATCATTACTATTATTTTGTTTTTTCATTTATCATAACCAAATGAGATAAAGTCTTGCAATTCTATAAGATTGGAAATACTATAAGATAAATTAATAAAATAATATATATTTATCATATAGTTATATTAATATTAAATTTCTTGTCTCTCACTCAAAATTATTAATAATATATGGATATTACTTCATAAATAAAATAATACTATCTTAGATTCTTGACCAATCTCTTGAATATATTATTCATGTGACATTAGTAAAGTTATGTGAATGACCAAGATAATGACATCTAGATTGATATCCATGTCAAATATACTAGTTGCTAATATTATTTTAATAGTTCTATTTTTCTAGCTCACAGATATAATTATTTGTTCAATACTTACAAGTTTCTCATAATATATTATAATAATAATAGAATTAAAATTTTTTTGAAATATATTAGTCATTTTATTATATTCTCTAATAGTAACTTTATAAATAATAGTATGATTCTTAAAATTATCTAGCAAATCAAATATAGTTTGGTAAAATTTATTTTTGATAACTAATTTGAATTTAACTTCTAATATAATTTCAGAGTGATAAATAATTAGATTTCTAATTATATTTATATCAAATTTTTTTTAAAATTGATTGAATAATTTTCAGTTGGAAAATTGTACTTTAAAATATCTAATTCTCTCTATGTATTTCTTTTATATATTAGAGTTTATAAATATAATTTATTATTAATATTAAAAAATTTATATGATCTAATTTACTAAAATTCTTTATAAAGAACTATATAATATGCTTTATCAATAATAAACTAAAGATCTCAAGTATTATAAATATTTTTTAATATAATGTAAAATTTGATATTTTTTATATATTTTTCTGATATAATAAATAATATATAAATTAATCTATTTGCAATTTTAGTAAAGATCTTTTCTTATACTAGAAGTAACTATTCTAAAGAAATAAATAATATTGCTATTAATATTCTTATTCTTACTTTATAAATAAAAGAATTATTAAATAAATATATTGTAACAATTTTGATTGGGTTATCTTCCTTTAGATTTCTTTTAGTTTAGATCTTCATTTTGCGCTATCTGTATAACAGATTAGCTTTGTATTACATTTCTAAGAAGATCATTTTCACTCTGGATACACAGATGATCATTATGTATTTAATACATCTAGATTTAGCACATTATTACTC